CAGCTTCGCAGTGTATTTGGTGGCTTGGATTGCAGCCTCTCCCACGACAGCCAACAACAATCATAGTCAATGTTGTCTGTGAGCACTACTATGTGCCAGGCACCTCATTACAACCCAGAGAACTAAGCACTTTTGCTCTCCCCACTTTACAGATCAGGAAACTGAGGCACGGAGAGGTTAAGGGATTTTCCCAAAGTCAAGAGCTACTCAGGGAATTTGGATCTGGGCAATCCAACAGCAGGTCACCAGTTAAAGGTTGTCCAGGCCAGGCCATGGACAGAAGGTCACAGCTCACCCGCTCTCCGCACCCGCCACGTGTCTGTCACCAGGCATCGCCACCTGTTTTTTCCAGCCATCTCTAGGCCTATAACAAGTGCCGCAAGTGAGGCTGTGTTTGAATCTCCATCAGTGTGTTTGAACATCTCCCAGCAGGTGCCTCTGCTGATCAGTTTTTACTCACTCTGCAGTAATTAAGGCCTTGGGTCTCACTTCAGTTATCAAAGCAGGGCGAACGTGGTCCCTGGTGGAGGCCAGGGATTCCAGCAGAAAGAGCACTGGATCAGGAGTCCCGGGGCCCAGGCTCACAGACCAGCTCAACCTCACCCCATCACATGGTCTCCCCAAACTTCATTTCCTCTTGTAAAAAATGTAGAAGCCGATGCCTTCTCTACCTCAAACACGAGACGATGAAAGGAAAGAGGTTTGGAAAGCATCTTGATGAGAGAACAGCTTCGCCATGTGAGGCCCCACACGAGGCCCTGCAGACCTGAATCCAGGCCGCCAGAGCAGCCTTCCAGGTGGAAGGTGTGATCCCAGTTCAGTAGGACACTGACACCTCTGCAGTGCTAAGGAGCCACTCCTCTGGGTCATGATCACGAACGCGCTGAGTAGTCCAGAGAGGGGCCTATGTCCCTGGACCCTTGAAGGGCAACAAAGCCTTCAATGGCCATCAGGGCAAGGTAGGCAATGAGGAGGTAAGGGAAGACCTTAATGTTCTCAAAATGCACCATCAGCTGGGCACAGAAGCTCACACTTATAATCCCAGCACTTGGGAGGCCAAGGCGGGAGGATTGCTTGAACGCAGGAATTCAAGACCAACCTGGGCGACACAGTGAGACCTCATCTCTACAAAAAAAATCAAAAAATTCGCTGGGTGTGGTGGTGCACATCCCAGCTACTTGGAAGACTGAGGCCGAAGGACTGCCTGAGCCCAGGAGGTTGAGGCCACGATGAGCCATGAGTGTGCCGCTGCACTCCAGCATGGGCGACGACGCAAAAAAAAAAGCCACCATCAGCCAGAGTCCAGGAGAAGGGGGCAGCTGGCAGGGGAGAGCCTCGGAGATGTGGAAGAAGGTCTGCAAAGCAGGCCCAGGTTTGCACTGGACTCCCTGAGGAGGCCACAGCCTCTGCAGAACCTCCACCCTAAGAAACACTTCCTTATTCTCCTCTGCTTCCCAAGAAGCCCCAAAGCTCCCAGCACCTGCTCAAGGGTGTCTGAACACCTTGTACGAAGGCCTCCACGACCCACACCCTTCACACACAAGCACAGTTTCTGTCCTCCACTCCCAGGACGTGAGGAGAAACAAGGACTCATGGCCGTGTCCCCACAGAGCACCTGGTAGGGGAGGCCCGGGCCCTCCCCACAGGTGCAGAAGCTCTGAAAGGGTAGGTTTCTGTGTGTTCCCTGCTGTGTCCCCAGTGACCAGAACAGGGCTGGGAACACAGTAGGTGTTGAATAAACATTAGAGAGAAAAGGAACTCAGAACATCAGATTTGTTTTCTTCCCTCTGTAGAGTGGGCAGGAGGGGGATATCAGGATCGATAGCCCCACAGACCTGAAGACCAATGGGCCCATGGAACCCACGAACCCACAGACCCACGAATCCACAGACCTAAGACCCAACAGACCCACAGACCTGTGAATCCACTCATCCACACACTCACAGACACATACACACCCATAGATCCACGGACCACAGACCCCCCCACTCATTCACAGAGATCCACAGACCACACACTCGCAGTGGTGCAGGGCACACACAGCGCCCTGGGCTCTCGGAGCCCCCAGCCAGCCCCAGGACTCCTGGGAGCACAGGGTCGACTGAGGGCGTTATGGAATACGTTGTGCAGAAAAAACAGGATGGAGGGAAGGGTCAGAGAGAAGTGGGAAGAGGGGCAAGGGCAAGCGAGGAAGAGGAGCAGGGGGAGGGTAGGGGGAGGGGGGCTGCTCTGCCTGTGGTCCAGAGGGGTCTCTCTGGATCCCCAGTCCCAGGCCAGAGACCCTCCTTCCAGACAGTTTTTGACACCTCGAGCTGGGGGCTGGGAAATCAGAGAACAAGGCAGCCGAAGGGGAGACACACGCCAATCAAGGAACCACACAAGAGCCTGTTTCCTTCGTTACCTTGGAAAGCGCTAGGAACTGCTGGGGCGGGCGCCCACGAGGGTGGGGGAGGGACAGAGCGGTGCCCAGAAACAGCCTGGCCCGGGAGCCCCTTTCCGAGGGCTGAGGCCCAGCAGAACCACACGTGGTGTGTGGGGCGAAGGCGGTGGAGAAAGCAGGGGAGCCGGGTAGCAGGAGACTGGGAGAGGGGAGTCGGGGGCTGTGATGAACTCAGGGTGGGGATCTGGGTCCAGAACCCCAAGGCTGCAGTTCGTGAAACTGGGCTGTGGGCTCAGGAAGGACAGGGGACAGGAGTCCAGGGACGCTGAGAGAGGGTGGGAGACGGTGGCAGAAACTTCCGCCCCCACCTCGCTACCCAAGGTCAAGGAGAGTCAGCAGGGACTCGAGGCCTGCCTGGCGCCCCCTGGTGGGCCTGGAAGATGCCCTCGCAGCGCCAACCCCCTCGGAAGGGCCTGGAATGGGGGTGGGGGAAGGGAGGAGGCATGCAGGGTGGGCAGGCAGGAATGGGGACGACCTTGGCCAAAGGAAGGGGAGGGGCCTTCAGCCAGGCCTGCAGCCCCTTCCCCGGGCCTCTCCTAGGGTTCTGAGCAACCAGGAAGGAAGAGCGGAGGACACGGTGAGGGGCCCAGGCCTGGGGGAGGTCCAGCTCAGCATCCCCCAGGTATGCACTTCCCTCATCCTCTTCCTACCCCACTGCAGCCCCCAACTTGGTCCTGGCTCAGTGTCACCCCGTCCTGTCCAGACGTGGCACCCCCGCTGGCATCACCTGAAGGGATCTGGGAGGTCTCTAGACTCCCTGCCCAATCCCCAGCTCAGCCCCGAATCCTGGAACCGGACTGAAAGTTTGTCCGGAAGGATGGACAAGAGTTTTTGAAGCGAGTCCTCGGGACTGAGGGGAGCCGCTGATCCAGGTGACCCGTGTGAGTGCAGCCTGAGGACTGGGGCCCACACTCCGGGACCAAGCCCGTCTCCCGGGCCAACCCACACCCCTGTCCTCACAGCATCCTAGCCCCGAGGTGGTACCAGTGTCTGCTGGGTGAATCCCCCAGGCAGCGAGAGACAGAAGAACAGACTGACCGCTGCTCAAGCCAACCTGAGCACGCCAGCCGAGGATGCTCCTCACATGGCGATTCAGACCCCATCACACCACACAGACACACGCAGGCCCACTCCAGTGCTCGCCTGCGCTCGCCTCTCTCTGTGTGTCTCTCTCTCTCTCTCTCTCTCTCTCTCTCTCTCACACACACACGCGCGCGCACACACACACACACACACACCTGGCCCCAGGACACAGAACCAGAATATAGCTCAGGGGTCTCCTCAGACCCCAATCTCGTCCTCGGTTAGGAGCCCCCAGACCCTGAAGGGGAAGAAAGACACAGCAGAGGGGCTGACGGACGCCTCAGCCTGGGCTCCTCCAAGAGCCCCCTCCCCCAGGCACCATAACCTCCCCCAGAAGAGGCCTCCCTCCTCTCCCAGCCTCTTGGCCTCCACATCCCCCACACACACCATTCAGCAGACAATTAACACCCAATCATCATAAACACTCATTATATAACCAGCTCCGTGCTGCCGAGGATTCCTTTCACCCCCTAGAGCCCCAGCTCCGACCCTGGCCTGGCTTTGGGCAGCGCCACCTCAAGCTGGCTGGGGTGCGGGCCAAGTCAGGGGGCCCCAGAGCCCCGGCCTCGAGGAAAGTTAAACCCTGCCCGGGATCCCCCCATCCGTCCCCCCGGGGCACCTTCCCCGGCCGACACTCCCGCCTCAGCCCCCCAC